AAACCCTAATTATTTATCATTATCTTAATTAATTAATTAATTAATTAGTTTATTTATTTATTTATTTATTTATTTATTTATTTAGCTATTTATTTATTTATTCATAATTGATTATTTCACTTTTGGTTAAATCTAACTCGCCGCCCACTTAACCCATGGTGTATGTACACCCCAAAAGGCTGCGGAATTAATTAATTATTAATTGATTGGCTATTTCTACAAAGAAAGACCCTAAACCCTAAACCCTAAACCCTAAACCCTAAGAGGTAAACCCCAAACCCTAAACTATACACGCTAGGAGTTTTGGTTGCAGATGAAGGAGACACAAAGGTCCAAATTGAGTACCATTTTAATCAAAATTAAAACGAAATGCCACTGCAGCAGCAGCAGCAGCAGCTGCTGCTGCTGCTGACGCAGCAGGAAAGGCAGCAGCAACGGGAAAAGCAGCAGCAGCAGCAGCAGATGTAGCAGCAGCAGCAGCACAATCGGTAGTAACAGCAGCAGCAGCAGCAACAGCAAAAGCAATAACGGCAGCAGCGGCGCCACTGCAGTCATAGCAGCAGCCGCAGAAGCAGCAACAGCAGCAGCAGCAGCGGCTGCTGCTCTAGGACGAGGGTTTAGGGTTTAGGGTTTAGGGTTTAGGTTTAAACGAAACAATGAATTGAAATAAAATAAACAAAAGTTCTTTTATTTCCAAACCCTTTTTGTGGAGGCGCCCTCACTTTCGCCAGGGAAGAGGACCCCTTTAGGGTTTAGGGTTTAGGGTTTAGGGTTTAGGGTTTAGCGTTTAGGGCTTAGGGTTTGGAATTTTACGCCCTTGAGCCCCTCAGGCCGTAGGCGTCTAGAGTTTACGGGTTAGGTTTTGAGGCTTAAAATCGAGGGTTTAGGGTTTAGGGTTTAGGGTTTAGGGTTTAGGGTTTGGGGTTTAGGGCCTTTAGGGTTTAGGGTTTGCGGTCCCCTGTTTAGGCTTACGGATATGGGTTCATAGCGCCTACGGTTTAGGGTTTAGGGTTTAGGATTTAGGGTTTAGGGTTTAGGCTCTAGGGTTTAGGGTTTAGGGTTTAGTTTTATTTGTGTTATATTGGAAGTTGAAACGACCCGAACGACATGCGCGAAAAATCCTTTTACGAACAAACCCTAAACCCTAAACCCTAAACCCTAAACCTTAAACCCTAGATTCAACACCGTCGACCCAAAAGTGCACAGCCTACGTTCTAAACCCTAAACCCTAAGCCTTACACCCTGAGCTCTAAACCCTAGACACCATGTCTCAAACCCTAAACCCTAAACCCTAGAGACTGCCAGCCAAACTCTTAATTGTCTGCTCTTTACCCTAAACCCCAAGCCCTAAACCCTAAACCCTAAACCCTAAACCGTAAACCCTAAACCCTAGGGACTGTAACTCACTCCCAGTTGAGCCCAAAGCCAAACCGCCAGCATGCAGCGACAAATGAGTAAAAAGAGAAAATAAAAATAAAAAATAAAATAAAAATAAAAATAAAAATAAATTAAAATTAAAAATAAATAAAAATAAAAAAGAAGTAAAAGAAAAGAATGAAATAAAATGCAGAGGCTGTCTAGATCAGCGCCTCGCTCATTCCCAGGTGTCCTCAGGGTTTAGGGTTTAGGGTTTAGGGTTTAGGGTTTAGGGTTTAGATTTTAGGCTTTAACACTAAGGCATTTTAATTTAATACTTCAAAACAATCCCTAAAAGTAATTTTTTCAGTGAAAAGCTCCTCCAGTTACAATCTAGGGTTTAGGGTTTATGGTGTAGCGTTTAGGGTTTAGGGTTTAGGGTTTAGGGTTTGGGAGCCGCGGGAGCACCTGCTAGCGCAGCAGCAGCAAAGAAACAGGTTTTGACGTATTTGTGAGTTATTTGAATCATTTTTTCGTTTCTAAATTTAGGGTTTAGGGTTTAGGGTTTAGGGTTTAGGGTTTAGGGTTTACGGTTTACGGTTTGGCAGGTGTGCACTGCAGCCAAGACACCGGCTGCATTGACGGGAAGAAGACACAGGGCTTTAGGGTTTGGGGTTTCGGGTTTAGGGTTTAGTGTTTAGGGTTTAGGGTTTAGGGTTTAGGGTTTAGGGCTTAGCGCGAACACCTGAACGCGTATCTCGAGCAGCCTGCCAAAAGCAGCAACAGCAGCAGCAGCAGCAGCTGCTGCTGCAGCAGCAGCAGCACAACCTCCGCTGCTAGCAGGGAGCTGGCGACCTCAGCAGCAGCAGCAGCAGCAGCACAGCAACACGAGGCTGCGAATGTGAACAGCAGCAGCCACAGCAGCAGCAGCAGCAGCAGCAGCAGCAGCAGCATCAGTACTGGCAGTGATGTGGCGAAGTTGAGCATGTTTGGCTACTTATGTGAGTGGTTGCTGCTGCTGCAGCCGTTGCAGCAGCAGCTGCAGCGGTTGCTGCTGCCGCTGCAGCAGCAGCTGCAGCGGCTGCTGCTGCTGCTGCAGCAGGAGTGGCCTGCTGCAGTTGCTGCTGCTCTTGCTGCTTTTGCTGCTCAGACGCTGCTGCAGGGGCTGCCCTTTATTTTGGGCTGCATGCGGGACTGTTCTTCTCCTTCTTCTTTTTATTTCCGAAGTCTGCTGCTGCTGCTGCGCCGCAGCAGCAACAGCAGCAGCAGCAGCAGCAGCAGCAGCAGCAGCTGGAAGCAGGCAGCTGGCGCTGCTCTTCTGCAGCAGCAGCAGCCCTCGAGCGCCCGCCGCTTGCTGGGGCTGAAGCATAAAGCCCGTTTATCTGCTGCTGCTGCTGCTGCTGCCTGCAGCAGCAGCAGCAGCAGCAGCAGCAGCAGCAGCAGCAGCCAAACTCTGGGGGGCCGGCAGCGCACCAGACCCCCCATGACGCTCGCGCTGGACCTCGACGAAACCCTAATCTTAGCCACGAGGATTAAAGTAACCAAACCCTAAACCCTAAACCCTAAACCCTAAACCCTTTGAAGTCCCACGACACGCTGCTGCTGCTGCTGCTGCTGCTGCTATACCTTCTGTTGCTGCTGCTCTTTCTGCTGCTGCTGCTTCTCCTGCGGCTACCGCTATTGCTTATGCTCCTCCTTTTGCTATTCGTGCTGCTGCTGCTGCTGCTGCGTCGCTGTTCGTGCTGCTGCTGCTGCTGCTGCTGCTGCTGCTGCTGCTGCTGCTGCTGCAGCTGTTTGCTTCGCAGCAGCGGGTGCTGATGCGGGTCAATTCTGTCCCCACGGCCTTCCAAGTTGCCAAAAGACCCCACGCGGATTTCTTCCTTCAGGAGGTATTTCCCTGGCTAGCTAGCTAGCTAGCTAGCTAGCTAGCTAGCTAGCTGGCTTGCTAGCTAGCTAGCTAGCCAGCTGGCTAGCTAGCTAGCCAGCTAGCTAGACGCCTAGCTAGCTGGTCAGGTAGCTAGCTAGCTGGCTGGCTGGCTAGCTAGCTAGACAGCTAGCTAGCTCGGCAATCCGCTAGCTAGGCAGCTAGCTGGCTAACTAGTCAGCTAGCTAGCTGGGCGGCTAGCTAGCCAGGCAGTTAGCCAGCTAGCTGGCTAGCTGTCTAATCAGCTAGCTAGACAACTAGCTAGCTAGGCAGCTAGCTACCTGGAACCAGGTAGCGAAGCAGCTAGCTAGCCAGCTAGTCAGCTAGCTAGCTGGACAGCTAGCTAGCCAGCCGGCCAGTTAGCTTGCCAGTCAGCTAGCCAGTCAGCTAGCTAGCCAGATAGCTAGCCAGTTAGCTAGCCAGCAAGTTAGCCAGCTAGCTAGCCATCTAGCTAGCCAGGTAGTCAGCCAGCTAGCTGCCTAACTGACTAGCTAGCTGCTTACCTAGCTAGCCAGCGAGGCAGCTAGCTAGCCAGCCAGCTAGCTAGCTAGCTAGCTAGCTAGCTAGCTCTCGGTTAATTACGTAGCTAGCTAGCTAGCTGGCTAGCCAGCGAGCTAGCCAGCTAGCTAGCTAGCTGTTTTCTTTCTCGTCGCTTTTTGTCCTTTTTATATTTTGTGGATCTTCTTTTTGTCTCTTTTGTCATTTTGATATTCTTTTGTCTTTTTAATTCTTTTAATCTTTTATTTTTAATTCATTTCCTTTTAATTTCTTTTAATTTATTTAATTTTAATTTTAATTTCTTTTAATTTATTTAATTTTAATTTTAATTTCTTTTTTGTTTGCAGCTTTATGGCTTATACGAAATTGTCATTTACACTGCCAGCAGAAAAGAATACGCCGACGCAGTGCTAGGTCCAAACCCTAAACCCTAAACCCTAAACCCTAAACCCTAAACGCTAAACCCTAAACCCTAAGCTCTGAGCGCTGTGCCACAAACCCTAAGCCATAAACCCTAAACCCTTAATCTTCACAGCTGTAGTTCCTGGATTTAAAGGAACTAATTACGAATCTGAAACCCTCCATTTGAACCCTAAACCCTAAACCCTAAACCCTAAACCCTCGATTTGTCGCTAGCTCTTCTGGAGTTTTTCTGTTTGTCTCTTTTGGTTTATTTTTCCTTTTTTATCTTTTTTTAATTTCTTTTTTCTTTTTTGTTTTGTTTTTTTATTTTTAGTTTTTTCCTTTTTTGTCGCTTTTTCTCTTTCTTCATTTTGATTTAAAATGACAATTGGAAAGTTAATTAGAGATTTTGTTTTTGTGCATTTTTGTTTTATTTATTTATTGTTTCTTTTATTTCTTGACTATTTTACTTGTGACTTAATTGCTTAATTACCCGAATAATGTGGTTAATTGAATACTTAATTAAATGAAATAAATAAATAAATAAATAAATAATAATTAATTAATTAATTAATTGATCAAACAAGTTCGTAGATCAATTAAATAATTTGATTAATCGATTAATTAATTAATTAATTGAATTTGTAAATCAACTAAACAATATAATGAAATGAATTAATTAATTAATTGAATTCGTAAATCATTAAAATAATCTAATTAATTAATTAACTAATTAATTAATTGAATTATTTTATTCTTATTTTTTATTTTTAATTTCAGATGCGACGAATTTGCTGCTGTACGTGGACCGCGTTTTTACCCGCAGCGACTGTATCTACACAGGTTGGAATTTAAAAATTAAAATAAATAAATTAAATAAATAAATAAATAATTAATTAATTAAAATAAATAGATAAATAAATTGAATCAAATAAATGAGGAGATCTTAACTGCTGAAAAAATAAAAAAATGATAATTTAAATTAATTGAGTAATGGTGAAATTCGTTTTTATGAATTTATGAAATAAAAGGTAAATTTAATTTTTAAAATTATCCTTCGTTATTAATTAATTAATTTATTATTTAGTTATAATTTTATTTTTATTCATTGTTCCAATTAATTAATTAATTAATTATTTTCTATTGTTTATTTATCTTTTGATATATGACTTGTTTTTTATTTACTATTAATTAATCATTCAATATACTATTTAGGTATTCATTCATTTATTTATCTACTGCTTAATTATTATCATTTATTTATTTATATATTTGTTTATTTATTTATAACTTTTTATTTATTTATTTATTTATTTATTTATTTATTTATTTATTTATTTATTTATTTATTTGTTTATTTATTTGTTTATTTATTTTTGTTTTCAGATTTTGGCTACGTAAAGGATTTGCGGAAATGCCGAAAAGATCTTTCGAAAGTTCTTTTGGTGGATGACTCTTTAGTGGCTGGCACCCACTGCCGAGGCAAACCCTAAACCCTAAACCCTAAACCCTAAACCCTAAGCTTTGAACGCTAAACCCTAGGCCCTGGCCTCTCGAGCTGAGGGCTTAAACCCTAGAAAGTGGGTTTATGGCTTTGCAGAAATTTGGCGAACCCTAAACCCTAGCACGGGAGTTTTCTAAAGCCTCCTCTAAACCCCAAACCCTAAACCCTAAACCCCCTCGCTCAATTCTTAAACTCTGCAGAGCAGCATTGAGCACTAGTTCACGCTAAACCCTAAACCCTAAACCCTAAACCCTAATAACGAAAAAGAGCGTTTTGAGAAGGGGATAATAGCTGTCGCTTACCCGCTGCTTCATTGCAGGGTTTAGGGTTTAGGGTTTAGGGTTTAAGGTTTAGAGCTTTAGGGTTTGTGATTGAGGCCTGAGGGTTACGGGATTTGGGTTTGGGGCTTTGAAACTCAACACTGAGGATGTGGGGTTTAGGGTTTAGGGTTTAGGGTTTAGGGTTTAGGGTTTGCTGCAGAGAACTTTGTGCACATCGGGGGCTGGTGCGGCAGCGAAAGCGACGAGCAGCTGCTGCTGCTGCTGCCGCTGCTGCATGCATTAAGAGCAGCAAAAGACGTCAGGGCCATTTTGGGGCTTAGGACCATGACCCACCCGGTGCTGCTGCTGCTGCTGCTGCTTCTGCTGCTGCTGCTGCTGCTACTACTGCTGCTGCTGCTGCTGGTGCCGCTGCTACTGTTGCTGGTGCTGCTGCTCCTGCTGCTGCTGGTTGCTTTTGGTGATGCTGCTGCTGCACCTGCAGCCGTTGCTGCTACTCTTGCTGTTGCTGAATGCTGCTGTTGCCGCTGCTGCTACTGCTGCTGCTGCTGTTGCTGTTGGCAGTTGCTGCTGGTTTGCCTGTGATTTGAGTGTTGAGATTGCCAGGTTGCTGCTGCTAGGTTTCAGGGTTTAGAATATATGATCTAGGGTTTAGGGTTTAGGGTTTAGGGTTTGAGTGGCGTTATGGCTGCTGCTTCTTGCAGTTACTTCAGCCCGCTGCGCAAAGCCTTCATGCCTCCCAGCAGCAGCAGCAGCAGCAGCAGCAGCAGCGGCAGCACAAGCTGCTGCAGCAACACAAGCATCACATCCACGACCTGAACCTGAAGGAGCAGCAGCAGCAGCAGGAGCAGCAGCAGCAGCAGCAGCAGCATTCGCGGCTGTCTAGTTTGCCTCTGCATGCATTTCAAGTATGCAAAAGGGCCTTGGGGAGGTCTAGGACATTTGCTGCTGCTCTGCAGCAGCAAGCAGCAAAGCTGCAGCAGCTGTTGCAGCAGCAGGTGGGGCTGCGTGTTGCGGGCAGCGACTTGGCGGCCCAGCAGCAGCAGCTGCAGCATCACCAGCAGGTTTTGCTGCAGCATCACCAGCAGGTTTTGCTGCAGCAGCAGCAGCAGCAGCAACAGCACCGGCGACAGTGGGAGCTGCTGCAGCTGCAGCAGCTGCAGCAGCTGCAGCTGCAGCAGCAGCTGCAGCCACGGCAGCAGCAGCAACAGCAACTGTATTTGAGGGATCCTGGGGCTGCAGCAGGCTTTCATGCAGTGCAGCAACGAAAGCCGAGGCTGCAGCAGCAGCAGCAGCAGCAGCAGCAGCAGCAAAAGTACCAGGAGGAAAACAGGCAGAATTAGAGCACTCATGGCGGCTGCACAGCGAGCAGCTGCACCAGCAGCAGCAGCAGCAGCAGCAGCAGCAGCAGGAACAGGTACACACTCCGAAAGAGACAAGAGTGCTCTTTGCGGCAGCAGCAGCAGCAGCAACAATACAGTTTTTTCAAAAAATCGGCGGCCCGAGGTTGATGCCAGTCTGCTGCTGCTGCTGTTCTTGCTGCTGCTGCTGCTGCCGCTGCAGCAGGTTGGGGACAGATGCCGGTGCTGCGGGAAACCCCACGGCATTAGTTTCTTGTCTTTAGTTGCCTTTGAGGCCTTTTGCTGCTGCTGCTACTGCTGCTGCTGCTTCTGCTGCTGCTGCTGCTGCTGCTAGTACACGTGCCTTTCTTTTTGTCGACGGAGTAGACGCAAGCAGCAGCAGCAGCAGCAGCAGCAGCCAAAAGCTTCGCAGCAGCAGCAAAGAAAGCAGCAAACAGGTTAAGCACTTAACGCAGTAAACCAGATGCAACCAGCAGGTCCGGCAGCAGCAACAGCAGCAGCAGCAGCAGCAGCAGCAACAGCCGTGAATTGCTGCAGCTGCAGCAGCGGCAGCAACAGCAGCAAACCCTTTCGTTTTTGTCGATTCATTGAATTAGCTGTATAATTCCAAGGAAGCAAATGCAGCAGCAAATGCAGCAGCAAATGCAGCAGCAAATGCAACAGCAGCAACAGCTGCAGCAAACGCAAAATTAGAAGCAGCAGTGGCAGCAGGAGCAGCAGCAACACAAGAAGCAGCAGCAGCGAAAGCAGCAAGCGCAATCAGACAGCCGGCAGCAGCAGCAGGAGCAACAGCAGCAGCAACAGCAGCAGCAGCAGCAGCACTTCGCTTGTAGCCAAATCCGAAACAGCAGCAGCCCTTGGGGGCCAGGACCTCTCCCCGCAGCCCCAGGGGCTGCCCGCAGCTAGCTGCAGCTAGCTGCAGCTAGCTGCAGCTAGCTGCTGGTACCAGCTAGCTGCGGCTAGCTGCTGCTAACTGCTGCTGTGTAGCTGCTGCTAACAGCTAGCTGCGGCTAGAAGCAAGCTGCTGCTAACAGCTAGCTGCTGCTAGCAGCAAGCTGCTGCTAACGGCTAGCTGCTGCGAACAGCTAGCTGCTCCTGGCAGCTGCCAACAGCTAGCTGCAGCTAGCTGCAACAATGGTAATGTGGCTAAGTGGCAACAGCTAGCAAGCTAGCTACAGTCAGCTAGCTACAGCTAGCCGTGGCTAGTCACGGCAGGGTACTTAGCTGCGGCTACGTTTAGCTAGCTGCAGCTAGCTATGCCTATAGCTAGCTGTAGCTAGATATACAGCTAGCTAGCTGCAGCTAGCTAGATGTAGCTAGTTGCAGCTAGCTAGCTATAGCTAGCTGCAACTGTGCATACCTAGCGGCAGCTAGCCTCAGCTAGCTGCGGTTACCTGGCCTGTTGTGGCCAGCTGCAGCTGGGTGCAGCCAGCTGTACTCTTGTGGCAAGCTGTAGCTAGCTGTAGCTAGCTGTAGCTAGCTGTAGCTGGCTGCAATTAGCTGTAGCTAGCTGCAATTAGCTGCAGCTAGCTGCAATTGGCTGTAGCTAGCTGTAGCTAGCTGCAATTAGCTGTAGCTAGCTGCAATTAGCTGTAGCTAGCTGTAGCTAGCTGCAATTAGCTGTAGCTAGTGGCAATTAGCTGTAGCTCACTGCAGCTAGCTGTGGCTGCCTGAAGCTTGCTCTGGCTAGCTGTAGCTAGCTGTAGCTAGCTTTAGCCGGCTCTGGCTAGCTGAAGCTAGTTGTAGCTAGCTGGGGCTAGCTGGGGCCAGATTTGGCTAGCTGCAGCTGGCTGTGGCTAGCTGCGGCTAGCTGCGGCTAGCTGTAGCCAGCTGTAGCTAGCTGGGGCTAGCTGTAGCTAGCTGGGGCTAGCTGTAGCTAGCTGTGCAGAGCCTAGGCTAGATCTGGGGTGTATGCACACCTGAGGAGGCGGAGGCTCTAGAGGACCTCGCGAATTAATTTTTGGCGATTTTGCTGAAATAAGACAAAAAAGTAAATTAAAAAAGAGAAATAATTAAATAAAATATAAATATAAAAGGGTATTTGTAAGAAAGAAAGCGCCAAGGATCTCGAGCGGTGGCTGGGGCTGACCGCTGCTGCTGCTGCTGCTGCTGATCGTTTCTGCTGCAGCTAATTGGTTTCTAGAATTCGTCGTTAAATAAATTAAAGAAAACAAATTAAAATATTCTTTCTTTGTATTCCACACGCGCTGCAGCAGCAGCAGCAACGGAGCCAGCTGCAGCTTTGTCAGTTGAGCAGCAGCAGCAACAGCAGCAGCAGCAGCGAGAGCAGCAGCAGCAGCAGCTTGTCTGCGCGTGTCTTTCTTTTTTATGCAGTTTTTGCACTTTATTTCCCTTTTTTAAATTTATTTTATTGGGAAAAAAAACAACAAATTCAATTAGACGCGCGGTCGCGGGGCCGCAGCCAACTGGGACTGCGCTGCCTTGCCATTAGGGTTTAGGGTTTAGGGTTTAGGGTTTAGGGTTTGGGGTTTAGGGTCTGGCTGTGCTCACGCTGCATGACACGGGCTCTTCCCGTCTGCGGCTGTGTGCTTTGTACGCCACAGCCGACCCCCCAAATCCTAAACCCTAAACCCTAAACCCTAGAGCCCAAACCCTAAACCCCAAACCCTAAGCCCTCCGAAAGTTATTCATTGGTTTTCTCAGTCTCTCTTCGCAGAGCCGAAGCCCCCAGGCTGCAGGCGGCGTCTGCGGGCTTGCGGCCTAGGGTTTAGGGTTTAGGGTTTAGGGTTTAGGGTTTAGGGTTTAGGATGGACAGCAGCAACCTCCGCGTCTCCATCCCTCAGTATGAGGAAATAGAAGAGGGCCGCATTGCCTTCAAGGTGTCTGTACAGTACTCCAAACTCTCTTGGGAAGGTCTGCTGCTGCTGCTGCTGCTGCTGCTGCTGCTGCTGCTGGTGATGCTGCTTCTGCTGGTGATGCTGCTGCTGCTGGTGATGCTGCTGCTGCTGGTGGTGCTGCTGCTGCCGATGCTGATGCTGCTGCTGCTAATACTGCTGCTGGTGCAGCTGAAGCAGCTGCTGCCATTGTTGCAAATGCAGCTGCTTTTTGCTGCTGCTGCTGCCATTTGCTGCTGCTGCTGCCATTTGCTGCTGCTGCTGCTGCCCTCAGTAGCTGCTGCTGCTGCTGCTGCTGCTGTTTGCATGCGTTTTCTTGCCTGCAGTATGGCGTCGCTTCAGCGATTTCGTAGCTCTCCACGAGCAGCTGCTTGCCAAGTGTGCTGCTGCTGCTGCTGCTGCTGCTGCTGCTGATCTGCTGCTGATTTGCTGCTGCTGCTGCTGATCTGCTGCTGATTTGCTGCTGCTGCTGCTGCTGCCGCCGTCGCCGCACTTGCTCTGCTTGCTGCTCGTTTCTTTGCTGCAGTTCTGCCCGGTGCTTTTGTTGCTGCTTGTTCACTAGTGCGAAGAGCTGCTGCTGCTATTCCTGCTGCTGCTGCTGTTGCTGCTGCTGCTGCTGCTGCTGCTGCTGCAGCGACTATGGGGCCCTGCCGCCGCTGCCCCCCAAGACTTTGCTGCCACCTGCGACTGATCACCATTTCTTGGAAAAGAGAAAAGACAAGCTTTTCAATTACCTGCAGGTCAGCAGCTAGCTAGCTAGCTAGCTAGCTAGCCAGCTAGCTAGCCAGCTAGCTAGCCAGCTAGATAGCTAGCTAGCCAGCTAGCTAGCTAGCTAGCTGACTGGCTAGCCAGCTAGATAGCTAGCTGGGCTTGTCGCGAGTTAGCTAGTTGGCTAGCAGGACCGCAGCCTGTCTAGCTAGCTAGCTAACTAAGTAACTGAGCAAGTAGCTAGCTAGCTAGCTGGCTAGCCAGTTCTTCGCTAGCTAGCTGGGTAGCTCTATTGCTGCAGGAGTGGCTGGCTTGCTGGCTAGCTGGCTAGCCACCAGAGGGAGCTGGCTAGCTAGCGGTACTTCCAACTAGCTAGCTGGCTAGCTAGCTAGCTGGCTGGCTAGCTAGCGTGGTAGGTGGCTAGCTAAATTGCATTCCAGAGGCTTGGACAGCTGGGTAGCTCTTCAACTAGCCCACGAGCTGCAGTGAACCTGGCTGGCTAGCTAGCTGGCTAGCTAGCTAGCTGGTTCGCTGGCTAGCTAGCCAGTTAGTTAGCTAGCTAGCCAAGTAGCTAGACGTTGGCTTGCTGGCTAGCTAGCTAGCTAGCCAGACGTCGATTTAGCTGCAAGGGAAGGTGTACTTTGTTTTGTTGCTAAACGAGAGGTGAAAGCAATGGCCAGCTGGCTAGCCAGCTAGCTAGCACTGGCTGGCTAGCTGGGTAGCTAGCTGGCTAGCCATTACTTTCGTTGAGCAGCTAGCTAGCTAGCTAGCTAGCTAGCTAGCTAAAGAGCCAGCTAAAAGCATTGCTGGCCCGCTAGCTGCTGCATCTGCTTGAGAAGCTAGCTAGAAAGCTAGCTAGCTAGACAGCTAGCTAGACAGCTAGCTAGATAGCTAGCTAGCCAGGTAGCTAGCCATTTAGCAAGTTACTGAGCTAACTAGCGACTTCTGTAGCTGCGACTGCAGGATTCTGAGGCTCTCTTTATTTTGCGTTGCTGTTGCTGCTGCTCGTTTTGCTGCTGCTGCTGCTGCTGCTGCACATTGTTTTGTCTTATTGCTGCTGCTGCAGGAGCTGCTGCGCCGCCCAGACACTCGAACATCAGAGGAGCTGCTGAACTTCCTATGCCTGACTGAACAGGTAAACAGCAGCAGCAGCTGCTGCTGCTGCTGCTGCTGCTGCAGCAGCAGCAGCAGAACGAAAACTTTCAACGAGACGCTGTTTCAGCAGCAGGAGCTGCAGCAGCAGCTGCAGCAGCAGCTGCTGCTGCCTTGGCATCTGTACTTCCCGTTGTGGCTGCTACCACACAGGTGCTGTTTGCTGTTGCTATTGCTGCTGCTGCTGCTGCTGTTGCTGCTGCTGCTGCTGCTGCAGGCAGCAGTTCACAGCAAACGAATTCGCCCCGTTCTAGTCGCCAGCACAGGCCCTCAGCGGTTTGCTGTTTCTTCTTTCGCCAAAAGTTCTTCTTGTCTTGCTGTTGCTTACGAGGCAAACCCTAAACCCTAAACCCTAAACCCTAAACCCTAAACCCTGACACACGGAGCTCACCCTTGTCTAGATTTCGCCCTAGTGCTTCCAGTCCAATTTTGTGAACGCAAAAGGCCTTTAAAACGCCATAGGGCTTAGGGTTTAGGGTTTAGGGTTTAGGGTTTAGGGTTTAGGGTTTAGGGTTTAGGGTTTGGGGGTTCAGGACAAAACGAGCATGAGCCGGCTCGGCCGGCTGTGGACAATTGTGGAGCCCGATGAGTTAGGGACTCTGGCTGTGTGGCATATTGGTAAACCCTAAACCCTAAACCCTAAACCCTAGGCGCTAGACCCGAAGCCTTAGCTGTTGCTTGAAACCCTAAACCCTAGACCCTAGCTGTGGCCCAAGTTTTTAAATTCGAGTTTAAGGGCTCGAGGAGCTGCTCGGAGTCGCGCTGCCGTGCAGAGGCAGAGTTTAGGGTTTAGGGTTTAGGGTTTAGGGTTTAGGTTTAGGGTCTGGTGTGCAGACAGCTCAACGAAGCAATTATCCTGTTCTTTCTCCAAGACGTTTCCTTGCAAGGTTTGCCTTAATAAACCCTAAATCCTAGGAAATCCTAAACCCTAGGAAACCCTAAACCCTAGGAAACCCTAAACCCTAGGAGACCCTAAACCCTAGACCCTAAAGCTCGAATCATGACCCTTAAACCGTAAACGCTAAACCCTAGCTGCTAAACCCTATTCCTGAGCGGCAGCCCACGGACCTTAAGGGTGGAGGGTTTGAACCGGGGGTTTAGGCTTCACGAGCTAGGGTTTAGGGTTTGGGGTCTAGGGTTTAGGGTTTAGGGTTTGGCTCATTTGCTCTGCAGGTTAGGGCTGTGGCTTTCCACGCGCAGCGCAACAGAGTCATTGTTGGTTTAGACGGTAAGTTTGTCACTACAAAGGGTTTAGGGTTTAGGGTTTAGGGTTTAGGGTTTAGGGTTTAGCCTTTTTGGTTTGAGGTTTAGTGTCTGCAAGTTCGGGTAGCGTCGTTGCTTGCCCTTTATTGAGGGTTTAGGGTTTAGGGTTTAGGGTTTAGGGTTTGTGGCTGCAGACGGGTCTCTTCAAATACATCAAATGGACTTCGAGGGAAAGCTCAAAGAAGTACAAAGCCTAAACCCTAAACCCTAAACCCTAAACCTCAGTTAACACGCTGTAGATTCTAAACCCTAAACTGCGAAGCTCTAATAAGTAAATCCAGAAGCTGAAACGTTTATCTGTTTGGCCCTAGGGTTTGGGGTTTAGGGTTTAGCGTTGAGGGTTTAGGGTTTAGATGGGTGCTCTGTTGCAGCTACTGCTTATTGCTCACGGGTTGCAGTTAAGAGTTCAGGGTTTAGGGTTTAGGGTTTAGGGTTTAGGGTTAAGGGTTTGCAGTTCCGACATTTTGGTTCTGCGCACTGCGTGCTCATTTCTCCCGTCTTTTCTGCTGCTGCGGCTGTTGCTGCTGCTGCTGCTGCTGCTGCTGCTGCTGCTGCTGCTGCTGCTACTCAGGTGGGGTCAGCGCGGATACATATGGGCCCTGTAGTCGGTCTGTCGGGCCTGGAAAGCAGCAGCAGCAGCAGCAGCAGCAGCAGCAGCAGCAGCAGCAGCAGCAAGTTGCTTTCTGCTGACGCCGAGGGCAGCATTAGGATTGTTGATGGTGAGGCCTGCAGCACTTATTAATAAATAAATAAATAAATGAAAAAAATGAATAAATGAATAAATGAATAAACAAATGAAATTAATTTAATTAATTAATTAAAATAAATGAAAAAATAAGTCGATTAAATAACATCAATAGTGTGATATGTTATTTGCCCTTTTTGTTTTCTTCGAAATCTTTTTCTATCATTTCTTGTCCCCTTGTTTCTTCTTTTTTACTTTTTAATTTTTGTTCATCTTTTTTTTATTTTTTATTATTTATTTATTTATTTATTTATTTATTTATTTATTTATTTATTTTTTATTTCCAGCTTCAAATCTCCAAGTCCTTTCTGGAGGCCGTTTAACAAAAAGGCTTGGAGGGATTTTTTTGACTTGTTGTTTTTACGATACAGAAAAAGAACTGGCATATTTAGGTAAACCCTAAACCCTAAACCCTAAACCCTGCGTTGTAGGCATTTGACGTGTTGTTTTTATGAAAAGGAAAAAGAAATGGCATATTAATGCATATTTAGGTAAACCCTAAACCCTAAACCCTACGTCGTGGGCCTTTGACTGTTGTTTTCATGATAAAGAAAAAGAAATGGCATATTTAGGTAAACCCTAAACCCTAAACCCTAAACTCTAGCCCACTGCCTCTTTTTCTGCAGTCAAAGTCAAATCCGGAAAATAAAAGGAATCAAACCAATGAATGAACAAAATAATATATTTAACAACGAATTAATTAAATTTATTTATTTATTTATTTATTTATTTATTTATTTATTTATTTATTTATTTAAATTAATTAATTTGTCTTCAGGTACAAGTGCTGGGGTGTTGCTGGTTTACTCCGTAGCTGTACGTACACCCCACTTCGTCGCCGAAGCGGCTCTGACCCCTAGTGAGCCAATTGCAGCTTTTGCTGCTGACCCCGAGTGAGCTGCTGCTGCTGCTGCTGCTGCTGCTGCTGCTGCTGTTGCTGCTGGTAGTGACGCTACTGCTGCTTGCTGCTGCTGCTGCTGCTGCTGTTGCTGATGCTGGTGTTGCGGTTGCTGTTATTGCTGCTGCTGCTTTTGCTGCTGCTGCTGATGTTGTTGCTGCTGCTGCTGCTGCTGCTGTTGCTGCTGGTAGTGACGCTACTGCTGCTTGCTGCTGCTGCTGCTGCTGCTGCTGGTGTTGCTGATGCTGGTGTTGCGGTTGCTGTTATTGCTGCTGCTGCTTTTGCTGCTTCTGCTGATGTTGCTGATGATGGTGCTGCTGTTGCTGCTGCTGCTGTAGCTGCTGCTGCTGCTGCTTCTGCTGCTGCGGAGATAAATAAGTGAAAAATGAGAAGAATAAATAAAGAATTGCTGCTGCTCTTTGTTTGTTTTTGTCTCTACATGTTTTTTTTGTTTTTCCTTTTAATCTATTTTTGTCGTTTTAATTGCTCTTGAATTTCTGCTGCTTCCGAGAGACCTGAAATGCAAAAAGAAAAGAGCAGCAGGTGGAAGAAATTTTGTTTTTCTTGTGTCTGCTGCTGCTGTTGCTGCTGCTGTTGCTGCTGCTGTTTCTGCTGCTGCTGCTGCTGTTCTCCTGCTGCGCGTCCTCCTCCCACGCCTCCGCTGCTATCGCTACTGCTGCTACCGCTGCTGCTGCTACTGCTGCTGCTGCTGCTGCTGCTGCTGCTGCTGCAGCGTTGGGACGTTCGTGGGTCACGGTCCTCAGGTTTCTTTGCTGCAGCTGACAGCAAATTGCTGCCGCCGCACATCAATTTATAAATTGAGAGAAAATGAAGAAAAAGTTTTTTCTGCTGATTTTGCAAAACAACAAAAACGACTTATTGTTGGCTACCAAGTGGGCCTCGCAGTTTTTTATTTCTTTTTATTTTTATTATTTCTTTTTATTTTTATTATTTCTTTTTATTTTTATTATTTCTTTTTACTTTTATCATATCTTTTTGTTGTTTTTTTGTTTCTTTCTTTTGTTCGTTTTAATTTTTTTTTTTACCGTTTCATTTGGTTTTATGTCTGGTTTTACTTCTTTTTATTTGTGTTATTTGTTTTGCTTGTTTTTATTTTTTATTTTATTTTTGCTTTGTTTATTTTTGTTATTTGTGTTACTCTTTTATTTTTTATTTCTTTTTATTTGTGTCACTTCTTTTATTTGCTTCATCTCGTTTATTCGTTTGTTTAATGGCTTTTTTTATTTGTTTCTGGACTTTTCGCATTTATCATTATTATTCTTATGACTATTATTGTTATTATTACTGTTATGTATTAATGACTGTTATTATTAGTTGTTATTAATTATTTATGATTATTATTACTAATTATGGTTATTGTTATTAATTATAAACTTATTTTTCTTTTAATTTTTTACTTTTATTTTTGCTGCAGTCTTTTGTGGCGCTCTGGTCTATAGACACCGGCGAGTGTCTTCTCGCCTGGGCTGCGCACAATGGAGGAGTCAGTTTGCTGCTGCTGCTGCATGTGCTGCTGCTGCTGCTGCTGTTGCTGCTGCTGTTTCTGCTGTTCCTGTTGGTGCTGTTCTTGCTGTTGCAATGATTCTTGCTGCTGCTGCTGTTCTTGCAGCTGCGGCTGCTCTTGATGCAGCAGCAGCTGCTGCTCTTAATGTTGCTCTTTCTGCTGCAGTTGCTGCTGCTGCTGCAGCGGCTGCTGGGTTGTCGAGCCACGCGACCTGAACCCCAGAGTTCAAGGGGGGCCAGGTCTAAGGAATTAGGGTTTAGGGTTTAGGGTTTAGGGTTTAGGGTTTTTGCTTTTACTCAGATATACCAGTTGCTCACGCACGAAAACGGAAAGTTCCTCATAAGCGGCGGAGACAGCGGGACTATCAAAGTGAAACCCTAAACCCTAATCCCTAAACCCCCAACACTAAACCCTAAACCCTTAGGCAGATCTCGCCGAGCTCTAAACCCTTTTGGTTTTCTCATTTTCCTCTTCTCACTCGCTTCAAGCCCCTGCTTTGCAGCAACTACGCTTCATGGTTTAGGGTTTAGGGTTTGGGGTTCAGGGTTTAGGGTTTAGGGTTTAGGGTTTAGGCTTGGGTTTGAGCTCAGATGTGGCAGATGCCCCCCGACTCGGAGCTGACGCCTTGGTGTGTACATAAACCTCAGCAGCTCATTGGAGATGAGGAGGAAGAAGAAAATTATCAAAAAGAATTTGCTGCTGCTAATGAAGTTTCGCTGCAGCAGCAGCCTCAGCAGCAGCAGCGGGAGCTGCGGGGATCTGCTGCAGCACACGGCGACTGGGGAGCTGCTACGCGCAGCAGAAATATCAACCCTGTTTTGCTGCAGCGCTACAGCAGCAGTTCAGACGAAGAAGACTACGCAGGGCGGCAGCAGGAGCATCAGCGGCAACAGCAGCAGCAGCAGCAGCAGCAGCAGCAGCAGCTGCAGCAGCAGCCCCAGCAGCAGCTGGATGAGCCGCCCCTGCTGGTGGAGCAAGAGGAGGACAGCAGCGACGAGGAACTCGATGACATTCGCAGCGCCTTGGCCTAAACCCTAAACCCTAAACCCTAGGCCCTTGTCGTGACCAAACCCTAAACCCTAGGCACTAAACTCTTGTGCTGGGCGGCAAACTTCAGCGGGAGCTAAGAACTTCAAAACATTTTCTATCCACGGTTGAGAATTTGGGGTTTAGGCCGTAGGGCTTAGGGTTTAGGGCCTAGGGTTTAGGGTTTAGGGTTGCAGGGATGCTGCAGGAAGCGAAAAAAAGCAAATATCCGGCGGTGTGTTTGGGCTTTCTGTGAAGCCTCGAGAGGCCAGTAATTGGAAAGAAAAGGTACTTGTTGAAGTTAGTTTAGGGTTTAGGGTTTAGGGTTTAATGTTTCAGGTTTATTGTTGATCTTTTTACTTCATATTTTGAGAACTAGAGACTTAAAATTGGGTATTTTAAGATTTAGTAGTCAAGCCCACTGCAGCAAGGAAGCAAGAATTTTTCAGTTGATGAAATGAACAGAACTTGAATATGCGGAGTTATGAACTATGGACATGTTGCAATGAGCCTCCGGTACTCTGATAAAATCAAGATTCAGGAATTAAGCTCAGTGCAGCAAGTAGGAAAGAATTTTTCCAAAGTTCACGAAATTAACAAAACTTATGCGGAACTGTGGGTATATTGCCTTGGGACTGCTGTATTCTGACAAACAGCAAGATTGCTGTTGAACTCAGTGCATCAAAAAAGAATTTGTTCAGCAGTTAACGGATGTGAACAGAACTTGAATATGCGGAATTATTGTCATAATTTTGCTTTGGGCCTGCAATATTGTCGCAAACACAAGATTTTAGGGAGTGTTAGTGAAGCAGGAAAGATATAATTTCCCCAGGAGTTTGTGAAAGTGAACAAAACTGGAATATGCAAAAATATGAATTATGGGCATAGTGCATTGTTATGGTGATTACGCAATACCGCAGGTACGCGGCGTTTCATTCGTTATGTTGAATCATGCCAGTGTGTAGTAAAAACTTAAACAGAAAGAAATTAAAATTTTTATTTACTTTTGAAAAAAAGAACATGCATATCTTGTGGAATTATAGTGCCTACAATATATACTGTCAGGCACAAAATGAACAAATGATCCGGGCTAGTAAATTCGAATACGGTAGGCTCGAAGAAGCGCTGCACGAGATGTCCAGTTTATGTTAAGAAATCCGGTGCAAAGGGTTAATTTAAATAGAAATTGGGGGCACTTTGGTCTAAAAAAGACCGTGATAACTTTACCAATAGCATTACGTCCAGGATGTGGCACCGAAATGAATTCTTCTGGTAATTGCTGCACAGGAATCGCCAGGAAAAGCTCCGCTCATGGACCCCTTCAGATTCTTATCTAAAGCAGTGCGAGCGTTTTATATATACATATTTTTGTCCATATTACTCTTTTGAAAATTGGACGGGCCATTTTGTGAGAGGTGCAAACTCCGGTCATGGACCCCTTCAGATTCCCAGCCGAAACTCTGCGGGTTCTTCATAAATGCTTATCTATAGTATTTTTGTATAAATTGGAAAAGCCATTTTGTTGTAAGAGGCACAAAAATGCCCGCAGCGATTGCATATCTCAGCAACGTCTGGATACTTCACCGTGGGGAACCAGCAATACTGCTGTCGGACAGGTTCTGGCGGGTGTGTTGTTCAAACTTTGTGTAACTAGCATAATGGCATTTTGTATTTGGTTAGTAATTTACTTTACTTTCCACGCATGAATATGCATACCTTCCAGTAAACAATATCAGCGCTGTTAAGATCTATAGTGCGAAAGCACACACAGGACTGGTGGGGGTGTTTGGGTCACGCTGCTACTACTGCTGCTGTTTCTTGCACGCCGCCGCTGCTGGTGCTGCTTCTTGCATGCTGCTGCTGCTGCTGCTGCTGCTGCTGCTTTCAGCAAGCTGCAGCTGCCCCCGCTCCCGTGCTTCTCTAGGCCTCGTGACTGCTTCGCTGCTGCTCGCTCTCGAGAGAACCCGCAGCTTGAAGTTGCCTTTTCTCTGCTTTGCTTGGTTAGTAAAGGTGGCTGTTTGCAAAATTCTACAGAGTCCTTGGAGCATTCGACAGTTCCGCGCCAAAAGAATTTAGAAACAAATCATCTTATTGCATTTCGAACGCATGTAGGCAATGAAGTCCTGCAGATGCAGCTTTACAGGTGGTTCTGCCGTTGCTGCTGCTGCACTCTTTTTTCTCGAGCCGAAGCTGCACTTCTCGCTGCTTCTACAGTACCAGCAGCTTATCTTCTTGCGGCCGTGAATATTGTTTTTTCTTTGTACGACGTTTGCCATTGCGTTTCCACTTGCGGTTGCTTCTGTTGTAGCAGTTGTCGCTGACCTTGCTGTTGCTTTTCCTGACCTCATCGGTGCAGCTGCTGTTGCTGCTGCTGCGGCTGCACTTGCAATTACTTCTTCCGACAAAGCTGTTACTGTTGCTGCGTCTATTGTTATTGCTGGTGCAGTTGGTGGTGCTCCCGCATCTATGCTTCGCATGCAGCTGCAGCTGCTGTTGTTGCTGCAACTGCTGTTCTTGTTGCTGCAGTTGTTGCCTCTCCTGCTGCTTTTACGTTTGCTTTTGCAGCGGCATTTGCACTTTTTGCTGCTGTTGCAGGTATGGTTGGTATTCCAGTTGCACGTGTCGGTCTTGCTGCTGCAGCTACTGTGCAAGCTACTGCTGCATCCGCTGTTGTAGAAATTTCTGCTGCCAGCTCCTATCACAGCTCCTCCATCAGCAAAGAAAACGTTTTTATTTATGCACTCATCTATGGATTCTGTTTCTTCGAAAGAGCACTTCTGAATAGTACTGCAGCATCTTTCTTGTGCAGCATAATTTACCTGTGCTGCTGCCACTCAGACGCATTTTATGCCTGCATGCGCTGCATTTCAGCCTGCAATAGTTTCTGCTATGTACAGACTCATTTACGCCCTTACGCCAAGAACAAAATTGTCGATTCACTTGGTGTCACTTGATATCACATTATTTCGCCATTTACTTTATATTATTCTTACCTCCTCAGTGTTGAATATGTAGAATTTTACTGCATATTATTTTATACATATAATTAAATCATTTATCTTACCAGGATATACGCTCTTTGACTGTGAATGGGCCGCAGTAAAGGATTCAATTCTATACCGGCTGACAGCCAGTTAATGCTTGCTACTGGGGCATACTTCAATGCATAGAATGCCAGTCTGTGCACGATCGCAGAACTCTTGGAACAAATGATCCACTAAGAGAAGTAAGAGTAGTCGCCAACAATATTAAAACCAGCTGGGGGGGTGGAGTTTCGAAGAACCATCACTTCGAAGCATGGAAGCTCGGCGGATCCGTTATCCGTGGTTTGTCTTAGCGCTTGCTAATTCGACAGCACAAAACACCGTCCTCATTCCCGTTTTTCCAAAAGATTGCAGCTACGGGACACCTGTTTTAAAGTACGGGTGACAAATTTGGCCTATTCGCAGGCTTGAGGGTAATTGGCAAGCGGCATAGCCCTCCAAATTGAAGAAGGCTGGGAGAGCAAAGAATGTCTTCTTCTGCCTCCGCTGGCCTCACCTAGTCTTAATGCACATAGCCTATGTGCATAAAGAATTCAGGACACTAGTGCTCACAAGCGCACCATATGCCATGAATACAGATTCGCCCAAAAGCCAGTTCAAGAGGCATGGCAGGCCGACGTTTACCTGGATGTCGGGGGGGAAAAAGAAGATGCTGCGTCTCGAATGCAGCAATTGGCGATGAATTGGTTGTAGAGAAGAATTCAAGTTTCGGTGTGGCCAAATCACGGAACTATCAATTGTATGGCGGTTTAGACGAGTGGGGAATCATTAAAGTGATTGCCGTCAGCGAAAGCATCATAACATATTACCAGTGGTGCATGAGGCTCCAGGGCGTACAGGCATATGTGACTGCTACCATCCTAATGTCTCTCTGAGGTCTTTGGGAAGCGCAGTGCTGTTGAGGCTGTTTAGTTGTTGTTGCTAACAATGCTCGTAGCCCGTGGCAAGTGACTGGGGAGTGTTGTAGCTCACTGGATTTACACGTCGCATGGAATTGAAGGCGTTTTGATTCAGCCATTTGGTTGAGTGTATCCTAAAAGTGCGTAATTGTCAGCTCCTGATTCTTCACCAGAAAGAACAAGCTGAATCTCTGCGAACACTATGGCTTTTCCGCCCCCTGCAATTGGATGCGAGTTGAAGTTTAGGGGTCTGTTGACTGCATAGCGTCTGCAGTGTGTGGCACGTGACTCCTCTTGTCCAGAGCTCTGACAAAGTGTGGTTGTAGCTCCTGGTGACGGGCCGAATACATTCGTTGCTTGGGACTTATAACCTGTTCTACGCAGCCAATTCGTTTTTGCTGTTCTTTAGGAACCACATCCACCTCATACGCTAAGGTGACAGCGTCAAAGTCGAAGCCTTTCATCGTTTCGGGAACTCAAATGGCGGCATAGTCGATGCAGAACTGCTTGACGGGTCGCAGACTGTCACTTCCAGCTTATGAATGTTGAATGGCACTGCCATCCGAGTGAGATCAACGCCAGGGCAAGCGGCACCGGCAAAACCCATCTGGCCCCGTGAATAAGCGGTAAAATTGTATCACACCAAAGCAGCTGCGAACGTGAATCCCATTGTTCAACTCCTCTGGCTATTCAAGAATGGTCTGTCTCGAATATCCAGCTGATTCAACACCTCTTGCGCTGACTACACAGCCGATTTAGATTAGTTTTCGCCTTGTAACCTTCCACTTGCGAAAGTCGAGGTGACGCTGATGTTAAGGACTTTACACAGAGAGTTAGTGTGCCTGAACTTACACGAGCCGTACATTAGCACATCTCCCAGGTATACCATAGCACACTCATCTAGGACGAGTTGGAGGAGCGTGTTAATGTTAGCCTGGAAGTCAGGAGGGTTGTACCCCTTGGGCAGAAAAGCGTTACCTTATATAAAGATAAACCCACAGCCCGATGTAATTTTATCCAGGAATTGAGTTTAGTAAAATGCTATTATTCCTGATTATGTGT